CTTTTTAAAATCAAAGTTCTAATGCTGACTCAATGTATAGCCTTAGACAAGTCACCCATGTTCTTTTCCTCTACTTCTAGACTTTACAAATGATATTAATATTGACTACATTTGACTTCCAAATATGGTTATTATATGGGACATTTTTGATTTAAGTAAAATACTGGTACCTAGTTTCTCAATCAGATGACAATAGTCAATACGTTCTTGAGGATTCAGAGATGATAACTGAAATATATACTGTTTTTTTAATTCTTCATGAGTCTCCTCTGTCGTTATAATCTGGAATGAAAGTTTTATTTTAGAAAAAATTAACATTAAAAATGATCAGATATACAGTTCTTTTACAGTGGTATTTTACTCAGTCTTCTAAATTATGAAATATACAAATAATAATACAATGCAAAAAATAGTTTTCAACATTTGATGAAGCCTTGATATTGATATCAACAAATTTCTAATACAGCCTAACAGCAATATGCAAAAGCTGTATCACCATATCAAGGATCAACAAACCTTTTCTCTAGGGTGTGGAGCCACAGGGGGGTTGGCAAGCGGAAAGGCAATACTGGGGGCTTGAGGCGTAGGGATCAGGTGGCTGTCTTTTATGGGAGTTTCCAGTTCTTCAGAGATCGGGTGTTTGGGAGCTTCAGTCACACGTATGTCTCCAGGATCACAGACAGCTGAGGACAATAAAATGCTGCAGTGTGACAGGATCCAAATAAAACTAAAAACAAATTCTAGGAAATATTCTCATCTGTCTTAGCCAAGATGAAGTTAAGCACAAACTCTGGAATGTAAAAAGTACATGCAAAAAAGCACTCTATCTCCAGAACTTATAAATAATGCATCCCATCTGCATGTGGCAACATAATAATAATAATAATAATAAAGAAAAAAATGCGATTAATTAGCATTAAAGGGAGCAAGTGTGTTATCTGTGGGCTTCTCCCAACATTTTCCTTAAATACCAAGTTTTCATGGTTAAGTGTAACCCAAATTTGTAAAATGAGAGCAATTCTACACTTGGAGAAAAGCAGAAGCAGCGATAAATCTATATATCTAATGTAGGGAGGTAATCATGCGATGTGAAAAAGAAGAAAAGGAAGAAAAAAGATGAGAGATAAGAAAATTTTGTTTTCAAGGTAAAGCTCAAGAAAAAAATAGAAGAATTCAGAAAGAAACTCATACAATCCAAAGAACAAATGTAGGTATGTGCTAGGCAGAATTCAGAAGACTTAAATGAAAATAAGATGACAGGGAGAAAAACCAAGCATTAACTCCACAAATTCAAAAAGGCCTAGGATGAAAGAACAATGGTAAACATCATGTCTACAAAAAAATGCCCAATTCTAAATTTCCAAATTTATGAAAATGTTTTTCAGTTTACTGATGAAGTACCTCAATTTACAAATGATTTTTCTGACTCAAGTTTAAACCAAAACTAGAAATATCTACTAAGTTATTTTGTTTGCACATTCAGTTCAGAGAACAACAACATGCTCATCTGTTTATTTTTAAGAGGTCAACATGTACTTAATACAAACAAATGCAAAGATTTCTTTCTTGTTACCCTGTTTAGCAATTTCTGAATCACGCAAAGGCTTTTGAAAAGGAGAATCCTCCAAGTTTTGAATGTCAACCTGAAGCTCAGAGTATTGTGTGGGACAACTAGGCCACTGCAAATTGCTGGCAAGTCTTGCTCTCTCCTCCCTTGCTGTAGGGTCATCCCAAATGATCTGTTCATTTTGGGAAGGCTCTGTGTTGACATCAGGTACTATTTGACGAGACTGCCTAAGGAATAAAAGTGACAGTTTTAAATAAACAGCAATAACAAATCCAAACTCATTAAATCCATAAGTTAGCCCATAAAAGTTGTGGTTTACCTTTATATGCCACCATCTAGCACACAGTAAGCATTAAAAATATTAAATAAATGACCCTAGGGACATTTTTTTTTTAAAAAAAAGGTTTAAGGTTTCTTCCAGAAAAGTTATCTGTTTTAGCTAGGAACACATATTTTGACTCAATGTCTACAGAACTAAAACTTCGAAGGAGAAATTCAATACTGTCAAGAAATTTTTTAAAAATACAGAAGTAATTGGTACATTTAAAAATGTGATTTTCCTTAATTATACAATGTTTCAAACACTATGGTTACTTTACTTAACAGTAGTTGTATTTTTTAATTACTTGAAATTATAAGCACTATGATTACGAGGGAGGCTGGCAATAAAGGCTGCCTTATCAGAAGAGCCTTTTGGCTATTGGTAACCACTTTCCAGAGTCTATGGTAGAACAGCAATATGCTGAATTACAGGAAGTGCATTTTATGGTGCAATCGTAATGATTCTACATGACAGTAAATAGAAGTCCTGTAATTTTCTTTATATTCACTCATTCTTAGTAAAAATAATTTACCATTAAACTTATACTGTGGAGAAGCAAAAAAAAA